GGGGGGTTAAGGGGCAAGGGGCAAGGGAAGGGGAAGGGGGTTACGTAGCGGTTAGAGTCTGTGTATAGGGTATTATGAGGGTCTTCACGTATTGGATATCATTAGCAAACATTTACCCTGGATATCATCTTTCAGCACTCGTAGTGTTTCGTTACTTTCGTCGCATTTGTTGACAAACAATTGTACCTTGTCACCCTGTGTTGTTTTTAACTTTTCACCTTTTGTTGCGTTGAGAAATAAAGCAAAGCAGCCGGATAAAAAATGACTGTTGTATCCTTATAATAATACAAGTTTTGCGCTTAAGAGATCTGGAGTTGGCCTCCACGGAACACTTTTTTTTTCGCGGAATTGACGGAATGAACTACATTAGGGTTGGACTGGCTGCGTACATAAGCTTCTTTCGCTTTCTTTTATGGAGTTTTTGGATGGGCATATGGGGCTGGATTGGGCCCGGTTGCTTGAGAGGGTGTAGGCGGCCTCGGAATTCTCGAGGGGACTGATGAAATGTTTGTAGTAGAAGGGTGCTGTTTTTGTGGTAATAGGGGCTGGAATAGGCCAGGTTACGGAGGCGTGACAAAGGTAGTATAGGATTTTAATACGATAATATAAGGGTCAATATGAGAATGTAGGTAGTTTTGACAGGGTTTTGAGGAATGCTCAGATGCAGGGCGGTATTGAGGAACAAGTTTCAATGCAATAGGTACGTGTGTTTCATATTAAACCACACAAGTACTTCCTAAAGTTGTGCCCGTTAACGCTGCACGATTTTAGGAAACATACGGGCCACTACAGGAACGCCCAAATTCATCCAACTAGAAACGTTTCTACTCTATTTGTTTCCGCGGCCGATAGCTGGGCCGAGTACTGGTGGTTTAAGTTAGGTCTTGTAACACAAAGTCACATGACGCAAGACCCCTGAAGAAACCGGTATGGCGACCGACGGAACTGTGTACGGTCGCACACCCATTAGTCATAGACTCATAGCCATAGCTTCATTCATTTCAGTTTGTAATGGCTATCATCGTATCTAGGTGATAACCACCCAGTTTTCGAAGACTTTATCACATGCAGGCAGCAGGGTTGGGCGCCGATTAGTCATAGGGGCCCGCGCCACTACTCTCGAAATGTTCAAAAGAGAGTGAGTCTTCCGCTAAAACATGGAAAGATGCACCGCCATGATTTTTGTCTTTTGTGCATGTCGAGAGTAGTGAAGCGAGACCCATAGCCATAGCTTCATTCATTCATTCCAGTTTGTACTGGCTATTTTGTTATCTGGCTCCATTCATTCCAGATTGTAATGGCTTTTCTCGTGTCTGGGTGATGACTCACTCAGGGCACACTCACACTACCACGTTTTTTCACAAAATCGCAAATTTTATGTAGTTTTTCGGGTCACAAGAGACACGTATTTTGCGTGTTCACACAAAAGGGCACGTAAATGTCAGCGGCTTGGACAGCCGTGGGCTTACATATTTTGCGGGGACCTCCAGAGGGCAAAATCGTATTTCGTTTTCCTCTACTGCTTTCTGGAAGCAAAAAAAATAATTTAAAGTGCATTGTGCTGTCTGACTGCACACAACGCATTTTCGCGTTGCAAGGCCAGGACGCGACCCTGTCCTTCCCGCTTCGGGCAACAAAAGGGTGAGCAGTGTGACCCGCAGGTGCCATATAAACGCAAATTCACATACCTAAAATGGGCCGAAGTCCCTGCTAGTGTGAGTATATGCCCTTAAACGTGGTTTGCGTGCTTGTGCTTCTTCTTGCCTGCCTCTCTGGTGTCTGTCTTTCGCACCACTGCTTTGTCTTCTTCTTCCTTTTTTCTTTCCTTTTCTTTTTTTTGTTTTTTTAACAAGGACTCTGGCTCTTTTCTATTTGTGGGGAGCTGCACGTGTTGTTGGTGTGGTGTGCTTCTTGATGAGACAACCCTGTGAAATGTTATTTCTTGAGCTATTTTATAATCCTTGCAGGGTAAGTTGTTAAAAAAATAAATAATAATAATAATAATAATATAATAATAATAATAATAATAATAATAATAATAATCCTTGCAGGGTAAGTTGGGTAACCCAGAGTCTCAAATTCGCTATATACCTAAGGGTTATTTCTACTCACAGTACCTTCGCCACCGGATTACAACGTTCGGTCATTATAGCTGTATTTGGGGCATCTTTCAGTCTAAATACGGCTATAATGATGGAAAGATGGGGCATATTCACAATAGGACCATAAGCTTGTTTCTGGATGGAATCGTTGCCAGATGCATACAGCTGTGGCCGAAATGAGGGTTCGATGCATTCTGGAAAATGCTACCGTCTTTCGACGAGTACAACGTACCGTCATTATACAGCTATAATGCCGTATAATGCCGGTACGTTGTACTCGTCGAAAGACGGTAGCATTTTCCAGAATGCATCAAATGCAAGGAAGATGAGCATTAGCGAACTTCAGCCATCAAACAGCATCATACATATGAGCCCAGATAGTCTTGACCTCGACCCACAGCAGACTGGCATCACAAGATACACCGAATAAGAACACACCAAGAGTTCAAAATTGACAATGCTGAAGAAGTCCCATCATCATCAACTGCGAACCAGAGTTGATATCCTATTGGCGCTCGGCGCCCAGACTACAGGTGGCAGATCCTATCTAACCTATACTATGAAGCAAAATGATGACATCAACAGTGTTCCCGAAGTACGAGCATATGGCGACCAATGTCGCACGCTTCAGCACCAGGTATGTCTCTCATAACACTCACAACCCCGATCCACACCGCACAGATGCCACTAGCACCCCAAGGACCACCCTGCGCTTCACCTAGCATACAGCAGCGCAGCTTGGCTATGGCTGCGTGCTCTCTCCTACTCGCCCGTGAGAGCGTGAGTGCCAGCCAGCCAGCGCATTGCGCAGCAGCGCTCACGCAGCATGCAGCCAGCACCCGAATGCCGAATGAGGAGGCAGGCCCTTCCCTATATCGAAGTGGCCTGCCTGCGTCCAGTCCAGGAAACTTCCGGTAGGCCCCTGTAGGCACAGGCCCAGTCACGAAGGGAGAAGGCCTGGGGCCTGAAGTGGTTGCATGCGCCCAACTGCTTTCGGCCTGTGTTTGGCCTGGTACCCGTATCCAGCCCAGGGCCTGCTTCACATTCATTTACACAGGCGGCCCAGGGCCTGGATTCATTCAACCAACTGGCGC